TGTTGGAGTGGTAAACTCTGCGTCACGACGCGTCGCGGTGCTACCAAGCCGATTCTCGGTCCGACAGGTTCCTACATTACTCGCTAGCGAGACTCCGAACGTTTTCAACCAATCACCAGGCCACCAAGTTAAGCCGAGTAATCTCCCGGTGCTTTTGCGGGGGAGCTTTTGCGCGCTTTGTTACTATCGTCGTCATTGTGCGGGTAATCGGGGGAACGAAGGAACTTGGATCTGACGGCAGCAATAAGAATGGCATCGCGTGTTGGTATTGTGCGGAAGTACCTCAGTCATCTCAACTTTCTACAACCATGAGGCGCTCATCTCCTGTCTTGGTGTCTCTTGCAGCACTAACAGCAAGCCATATCATTCCTCGTCAAGAGTCCATTGATTACAATGCTGCTCCACCGAACCTCTCCACTCTAGCTAATGCCTCGCTTTTCGACACATGGCGACCGAAGGCCCACGTTCTCCCAGCGTTTGGACAGATCGGAGACCCGTGTATGCACTACACCGACCCTGAAACCGGCCTCTTCCACGTGGGATACCTGCATCTGGGTGCATCAGGCGCAACTACAAACGACTTGGTTACATACAACGACCTGAACCCCAACTCCGAGCCGTTCATCCGCGCTGGCGGCATCAACGACCCCGTTGCTGTCTTCGACGGCAGCGTAATCGAAAAGGGAGTCAACGGTACACCAACATTGCTGTACACCAGTGTCAGCTTCCTGCCAATCCAATGGACGATCCGGTATACCAAAGGAAGCGAGACGCAATCACTCGCCTTTGCCACGGATGGTGGACGCAACTTCACAAAATCAGAGTTCGGTCCTGTCATCCCTGACCCACCATTTGCTGTCAACGTCACCGGTTTCCGCGATCCGTTTGTGTTCCAGAACTCGCAGGTTGATGGCTTGTTGGGCAAGCGGGATGGGACGTGGTATACGGTCATCTCAGGTGGTGTGCACGGAAAAGGACCGAGCCTCTTCCTGTATGCCCAATACGATGACGAAGACAGAGATTTGTTCCAGACCTGGGAGTACTTGGGCGAGTGGTGGCATGAAGCGGCGAATTCGACCTGGACGGATGAGGGTTGGGCGGGGCGCTGGGGCTACAACTTTGAAGTCGCCAACTGCTTTGCTTTGGACGAGCAAGGTGCGAATCCGGAAGGAGAGATCTTTGTCACCATAGGTGCGGAATGGAGTTACGAGCCTATTGTACCCCAAGTCTCAGACAACAGGGAGATGCTCTGGGTTGCCGGAAAGCAGGAGCTCGTCGACGGTAAACTGACTTTCGAACCTACGATGGCTGGGCGACTCGATGCTGGGCGATCTGCGTACGCTGCTGCTGGTAAAGTCCTTCCTGCGGACTCTCAAGCCAGCAAGGCCAGTGGTTCCCCAGATCGATTCATCACATACCTCTGGCTCACAGGCGACTTCTACGGTACCTTGACCGATGAGTTCCCAACTCCCCAGCAAAACTGGACAGGATCCTTACTCCTTCCCCGTGAACTCAGCGTCGGCCACCTAAACGTCATCGACAACGAGCTCTCACGCGAGCAAGGTGCATGGAGGATAGATTGCGAAAACGACAACGGCACCGTCACGCTCGCGACTCTCCACCAGAAGATCGCCCGGGAACCATACGCCGCATTCAAAGACAACGCCACGAACGTCATAACCCAATCTGGCGGATCCATGGCAAACGTAACGAAGTTCACCGAAAGCCCAAAGTCAAAGCACTGGATGATGACTGCCTCCATCACCTTCCCCTCTCGCTCTGACGACGTACGTGCGGGTTTCACCATCCTCTCCGGACCCCAAGAATCCACAAACATCTACTACCAATTCAGCAACGAAAGCATGATCATCGACCGTTCAAACTCTTCTGCCGCGGCGCAGACTACCGACGGTATCCCCACGGACAATGAGTCTGGCAAGTTCCGCCTATTCGATGTTGCGGGCGGACATGGAAATGAGACCATGGTTGAGACGCTGGATTTGACGATTGTGGTTGACGGTGGTGTTGTTGAGGTGCATGCGAATGATAGGTTTGCGGTTAGTACTTGGGTGAGGAGTTGGTATGGGGACAGTACGGATGTTAGTTTCTTTGTGGAGGGTGGGGAGGTGAGGTTTGGTGATGTGACGGTTTATGAGGGGTTGGTTGATGCGTGGGCGCAGAGGAACTAGAGTGTTGCGATATGGAGCTTCAGTTTGAGATGTATATAGTAAGAGCTGTTGTATGATACAGTAATATTATCAAGTACTCGTTTAGATGTGTGGATGTGTGTGTGTCTGGATGACTAGATGCTGTCGAATGCGTTCATAGGGATCTGACTCAAGCCATCCTCGTGTATTACTGTAGGTTTTGGTGCTGGGAGACGAAACTGTAGGTAGCGGGGAAGATTACGTCAGCGACGTCGTGCACCTCCTTTTGGCTAGCATTGCCGCGGTTGCACGAGAAGGCGCGGTGGCGCGCTCTCACCACGGGCGAAACATAGTCGGCCAGACCCAGCTCGCTATGAAGTGTACTTCTTCTAATCTCGAATCGCCCATCTCTCTCTTTCCGCAACGTCTGGGTCAAGAGTAAGACATTGCAGCATTGGTCTCATCCCAAGTTCTTTCTCTGCTAAGCGCGTTGCTGCCTGCGCCTGCCTCAACGCGCGATATAAGCTCACAGTACCCTGGCACCTTTCACGCCCAACTGTGTCAGAAGCAATTCTCGTGACGCGCAGAACCTTCTCGTCGCGCTCCATCCACCGACACATCTGCCGCCCCATCGTCGAAAATTACAACGCACCCCCACCAACGATTCTCGATCCATCCTACACGATGACCATGGCGACAGCTCGTGAAGAAAGAACCCTGTCCGACACCCCCAATGGACTCTTGCGCAGCCAACACGAGTACTCGTACCGTCTCCCGACAGCCCCGCGCATCGTGGTTCCCCCACCTACCCTCACCACCGACATGCCCGGCCTCTCACTCGGTGGCGCATCTGGAGGGGAGGCTGACATGAGCTTCTTGAATGAGCTGGACCTCGAGGACATCATACAAAAGAACACACTGCTGGAATGGGCCTATGAGCGGCGGAGAGAGGCGCAAATGATCTTGCCCTGGGTCTATCTCGGACCCATGGTGGCAGCCAGGGATAAGGACTTCCTCGAGCGCGAGGGCATCACAATGGTGCTGGCTATCCGTGCGCAGGCCAAGAGCATGATGGGCGCGACCCAAGCGGCTTCCCAGGTCTGCATGGAGGTGGGCAGCATTGAGGCGCCCAGCTTCTACAGCCTCACACCACAGTTCCCGGAAGCAGCGAGGCTCATCAATTCACATGTCGCACGAGTACGACAACATAGCTTGCAGACCACAGGGCAAGCCACTCTGGGCAAAGTCCTAGTCTTTTGCGAATCGGGAAATGAGAAGTCGGCTGCAGTCGTTGCAGCCTACCTGATGCAGACGCTCCACGACATTGACTACATCAAGGCTATGCAGGTCTGCCAAGCGCAGCGCTTCTGCGTCAACTTCGACGACGTCTTGAAGAACATCCTGCGCGCTTACTGGGATATCATCGGTGCACGACGCTCTATCGCCACGTCAAATGCTCAAGCGACCCAGCAAAATGGTCTCGGCCACGGTTTCGCACAGCCCGGCTCGCTCTCGCTTTCTGTCCCGTCACTCAAACACAAGCGTAGCGTCCAAGATATGCAGGATCACGATGAAGACACGGACATGGACAGTGGTATGGACGAGTCTGACGCTCTACGATTTGCAGGGCGTGATGTCACTCCCTTCCAGGATCGCTAGGTGTAGGCCCCCAGCTTCGGCGATTCTATTGATTTGTTATTCAGGCGTTCCAGTAGCATTATACCCTGCATATCTCAAGGCGTTATATGGCGATGCATCTGAAAGGTTGGTTACGTGTGTAGTTAATTCTGGAGCTCTGATGAGATGAGCGGGCACAGGGGTTGGTTGCTCCTTCCATTCAGGTTGCCCGTAGTATTCGGTAGCAACCGCGAACGGATCCAAATTTCTCTTAGACCCCACCGTTCCTTGCGCCTTCCCGCCATTTTGCGCTCTCACAATCCATGACTCTCCTCCTACATCAGACAGTGTTCAATCGTCCGTTGTGCGTCTGCATCTTGACACCCCGAACAGGTAGCTAGGTACGGCACCTTCCCTTGGCTCGCCAGTTGAACCAGTGTTAATCTTCGGGCAAGCAGGTTCATTTGCGACAACCATAGACGCACCAGCAGAGACGAATGTCTTCCATGGTGAAGCATCTCGCTCCAATATCATTTCCCGAAGAAATCATTGGCTGTTCCTGCTCTTCTCCACTCGCAGGCCAAGATGTTACCGAATCATTACCGCGCCTGGTGGCTGCCTTATCTTTAAGAGTCACTGTGTTCGCACCTGGTAGTGGCTCTTGCAATATTGCTTGACCCTGGCAGTACCGCTCCCCTGATGGCTGCTGACTTTCACTTTGAATTGACGGGGCTGCTATTGCACGCTAGACGCATAGCAGTCACGATGCGACCTCATACAGGCCCAAATATGGTGGATGCGGTGAACTCTACGGTCACCACTTACCAATATCCCGCATCCTCTTCGTTCACAACGGGCTAGAACGCATCGATACCCAATCATCGCTCACATCATTCTAAATTCCACGATATGCCTTACAACCTCCGAGATGTAGCCAAATTGAAACGGCCTGCACGCTATAGGTCCACCACTGACGAAGAGTCCGCTACCCCAGAACCAGCTTCTAGCGACCAAGGTACAGACCTGAGCGACCAAGATGAGGAAACCCGCTCCCAAGGACCTTCGCGCACAAATACGCCGGCCCCGAACCCAGACTCACTTAATTCTTCGTCTTTCACTAACGACGACGTTTATCTTACACCACACCCATTTTCGCCGCTCTTCATGTCCAACGCACCCCACCACCCTCCGCCAACAAGCGCAAGCAATCCACCAAACTCCCAAGAGAGTCGTAAAATGGCAAACATCAAGTACGTAAAGAAAAGCTCTGGTGACGGACAGCAACCCCAAGCAGCGCCAGTAGTACGCGACTTCGCCATGCGCCCTAGCAGGACCTCTCAGCGCGCAGCAGCTTCCGACCCCGAACCTGAGCCCACACATGTCCCTCAGAAGCCAGCGGCGTTCCCTTCGCTACCAGCCAACGCTCAACCATCACCGCCGTTTGACCCGAAATTCTCGGGTCATGGTATGAGAGAGCTGATGGCGGCTATCGAGACCAAGGACGAGACACGCATGGAACACATCAAAGACCACTTCAAGATTAAATACGAGGCGGGTAAAGATCCCTGGTATGCGGCCTTGAGGCGTCGCTGGGACCCTAAGATGGTCGATTCTAAGGTACGTGGAGATTGAATTCCCTGGAGCCTACGTTGGCGTTAGGTCGCCTACTTTACAAGTTTTCATCTTGATGTAGGCTCTGCAAGTTTTCATAAGGCTAACATACAATGAAGGTCACATTCGAATCTCTATGGGTATCACTACGCCAGACTATCATCGAGCAGATAAAGGACGACTTCATTACCGGCACCTATATCAGTCGCTTCTACCCCGTATGCTGCATCCTGAACCTCTCCAAGGCGAAGCTGGATACGATCATGGCGGAGAACGCCGCAGTATGGGAGACCGAGGCTGAGATTCCACAATACTTCAAAGACTACAGAAAGCGATACCCTCAGGCCATCATCGACCCAGACGAGCCTCCCCCGAGCGAAGTAGTGAGGGCGATCAGGTTTTTGAGACAGCAAAGGCTTCCTGTTAGTTTGCTCGGCGAGTGGCAGGCACTGCCGGGACCTGAAGTATTTCATCACCCTCACATGTTTCACCTTCCCACGGGACAACGTAGTAACGATCGTTAGGCGTTTGATCAACCTTCAGATAATGAAGTAGCAGAATCAATAGATGAAGTTGACCCGATTCGTCGTTCTCAAAAGCGTAAAAGTAAACACCAAAACCACCTTTCGCATAGACAGACCCGCAAGCTGTTAAGACGTGCTGAAGGACGAGAGCTTCGAGAAGCCGCACGAAGACAGGATAAAGCTGAGAAGCGGCGGCAAGAGCAATGCCAGAAATGTGGGGAGAAAGGTCACACCTTGTTGGAACTCGACGAGAGGGGAGTATATAAAGTAAGTGATCCGTAATCCCAGCCTCGTCAAGCTCGCGAGAGAACTGAGCTGACCCTATCAAAAGTGTCCTGCGCGCCGACAAGAAGTCCTGCAACACCAACAAGAAGTCGACACCCTCCGCGCACAAGGCAACGCTGAATACGCAGCGCTCGATCAACGTGAGCAACCAGAACCCACAACCAAAAGCCACCCCTCCTAACCCACTGCAGCCGCCGGTCCCATGGACGCCGCCCCACTTCTCGAATACTTCCTCCAATTGAAAGCCAACCCAAACTCAAATCCATGCCTCGCCCGGCAAGCAAATTCCTCCAAACATAGTCCATACATGTCCACCGACCCCAAAGACCCATTGTACCTACTAGATTGCTTCGGACAACTTCCAACTCCTCCACCGAGTCCTTTTACCAAAGCTGCTTCAGCGAAAAGCAGTTTCTCAGATGTGGGGGAGCGCTATAGCACACCGTCCCCACTGCTCCAATCACAATATATGGATACACTACCAGACCGGCCTGTTTGGCCGAATGCGGAACGTTTGCGTGGTGTGCCTGTGCAAGGACAACAACAACATCCACAGCAACACGGACTGGCGCAACAGGTACCAGCGCAACATATACCGGCGCAACATATACAAACGCAACAGGCACCGGTACATCATTTACAAGCACAATACATACCAACACCCCACGTACCCAGGAAACGCGGCCCATACAAGACAAAAGACAAGTCCCTCAAAGCGACTAACGTCTCGCCGATAAGCAGAGTGGTGGGTAGAGGCGGTATGGTCAGTCTGGTCCACTCGAGAGAGGTGACGGATATGCTCAAGGCGCAGGCAGAAGCGCAGGCACAGGCATCATCACAGGTGCAGGCACAAGCTCAAGTCCAGATCCAACCCCAAGCACTGGTACAGGTGCAGATTCAGCCTCAGAATGAAAGCGTAGGCAAGAATGTTGGAATGGAGTTGGAAACGCCGCTATTAACAGATGCCACCTCGGTTGATGAAGGTGCCGTCTTACCACCGTGTCCGTTTATGGATCAAACGGCGACAGCGCAAGAGCAAGAGCAGGGAGGTGTATCGATGGTGGGGAAGACGGCGGACGGCCGTGAGAAAGGAAAGGAGAGGGCGGTGCAAATATAGGTGGAGGTAGACGTATGTGCTGCTGTAACATGATGTGAGACGGTTGTTTAGACTGGGTTTTGGATAGAAAGAGGAGGCGTATTGTTAGAGGTGCCCAACACTCATATTGTTACGTCTCGCTATCAATACCATCATTCATCAGCATTCAGACGTGTTTCTGTACACCTCACGTCGCCGTGCATAGAAATGTGTGTTAAAGCGTGAATGTTTTCATTCTTGATCCAAGTGGGTATAATGCGTCCGTCATCTATATCGTTTTCAAAAACCTCCCTCCAGAACTCCTTGTCAACACTGCCCATCAGCTAAACTGATCGCCATGCTCACTCTCGCCTCCAACACGGCGCCCAGCTATCCTTCCTTGGCTCAACTTCCACCGCCACCGTCGTTCCCGCTCGTCCTTCTCCCGCTGTTCCCGTTGAGCTTTCTTGCGCTCGTATACAGCGCGGACGGTGCGTTTTGTACGTTCAGCGCCTTCACTGTAGTTGGCGCGAGCGAGGTTTACGACACTATCGATTTGCTCGGATGTGTAGACGAAATTCCAGGTCGACATGAAGTCGCTGACCTTGGGGTCGACACCAGGAACCTTTGGGTTGGCGAGGAAGGGGAAGTAAATGACCGTGATACCAGAGGCTGGGTGCATGAGTTCCCAGTCCTCGTCCACTTGTTTCGAAATCGGGTGCTTTGTGTCTGATTCGCGTTCTTCGGTGGTGCCGACCCAGATGTTGCAGTAGCCTAGGTCTTTGCTCTTCTTGCTGTCCTTGTTTTCGTCGGCACCTTTTTCCTTGGCTTCTTCGAATTTAGTTTGGGCTTGTTGCTCAGTCTTGGCTTGTGCGCGTTCGAGGTCTTCTTGGAGGTCTTCCATGGGTTCATCGTCTGGTGGCCAGCCGGCGCCGACGGGCCATCCCTTGATGCCGCGCTGGCGGGCGTAGCCATCAGCGACCTTCAGCCAGTTGTCAGTCTTGACATCGGCGGAAGCGTCGAACGCGACGAGAATGTCAACGTTGCGTCCAGGTCGGAGAAGAGGATAGATGGGTAGGTTGTTGGACATTCCGGCGTCCATGAACTGGAAGTTCTTTTGTTCGAAGATGCTTTCAGGACATGATGGGGGAAGGAACTCGCGCATACCGAGAGCGTAGTTGGGCATGGCGGCGGGGTCGATCGGATGTACTTTGACAAGATCATCATCGCGCTCAGCGATCATGGAGTCTATACTGCTGCCGAGACCTGTGATACTGCGCATGAGGGGTCGAATCTCTCGGTAGTAGTGTGAGAGTGTCGCGCAGAAAGCAGAACCCCAGATACCCATGAGCAACGGAACGCGCACTTCAGGCAGAGCCAGGCCATTCTCCCGCCAGACTGTGCGTCCATTCTTGAACTGACGACCCATTGCCCAGGTGGGTATGCCAGCAGAGAGCTCCTCGCACCACATCTCGTACGGCGTGAATTCGAACCATTGGAACCAAGCCTCTTTTCTTGCCTTTGCTTCGGCTGCGATGCGATCTGTTGTGTCTCCTTGCTCGGCGAGCGGTATTTCGTGCCGTACCGCAGTGTAGATGGGCAGTGGATGTGCTCCGTTGTCGGTATAGCGTCGCTGGTTCGAGACCTTGAAGTCGTATTCGCTGACAGAAAGCTCGCCTTTGGGTACGAGCAGGCGGGCTGCGAGCAGTGCGCCGTAGATGTCCACCAGTCCAAAGTCGGCATCTGGGATGCCCTTTGCCTTCTCGACAAGTCCGCTCAGGAGGTATTTGTTGGTGGGCGCGCTGACGAGTAGTTCAAGCGCATCGGCCGGAAAGGCAATGTGCACACCGAGGCGGTTCTTGAGGTGTCTGATCATGCGAGCGTGACTGCGCTGCGTGAGGTCTGAGTAGTAGAGGGTCTGTAGCCAGCAGCTACCACTGACACCAGCCGTGTAGGTGACGCAGTCGAAGAGACCATGTTCTTTCGAGGAGAGGTATGAAGATGTGCCTGCCACGAGCGCACGCAACCCTCCACCAGAGCCGCACATGGCAATGACGGGCACGTCATCGGGGTGTATCTGCGCTTCTGGGATGTCGAGGTATCGCGCAAGTGCGGCCTTGGTGAACTGCGCCCTCTGCTTCAGAAACGCCTTTTCTTCCTCACACAGCTCGTCCGAGACCCTCACAGAGGCATCCCATATTATCTCGGGGTTGATTTCGGGATCATTGGCTTCGTACCATATCTCTTCGGCGAGCGAGCCCGGTGCCATGGAGAGCTCATCCTGGAGTTTGCGGATGAAGCCAGGGAGGACCTTGACCCAATTCGGCACGATGTAGTCGATGATGGTGTCGCCGAGCTTGGAAGGTGACGGGGAGGCGGGGAACTTGCTCGTGATGGTCTGCCAGGCTGACTTGCTCTGGCCGGCTTCCTCGTCCTCTTCGCTGTAGCCCTTGGCAACACGCGTCTGCGATGGTGCCTCCTGCTCACCTGACTTGTGCTCGCCTTCCTCATTCACCTGCCTCTCGGCATCTCCGACCGAAGTGGTCTCGGTTTGTTTGTCATTGCCGCCGAAGAAGTATCGCTTGAGGGAAGGCGCGTCCAGATGGATGGGACGGAAGAGTGGGTACGGCGACGACGCAGAAGAGAGATAGCCAGTCGCAGCAGTCGCGAGGAGACATGGAGGGCCGTACCGCAGGCCGAGCGTAGCAGCCTTGGATCGCTGGGAGAGCGGGTGCTTCGTGTGCAGGCTTGTCCTATTAGCAGGGGCATACAATCGGTGGTGTGCTGGCTTACCCACGACGCGTCCCCCGCAGCGAGAAGCGGCCCAGGTTGCGCGTGTTCCTATAGCCGGCCATGCACGCAATTGGGTCGAAAAGGGCAAAGAGAGTGGGATGGAGGTGCCGTGCGAGCCTGGCACATGGGGAAATGCGCAAAGCCCAGCTGGCCCCATGGGAATGCGTTAAGCATGACGGAGCATGTAACCTGCTTTGAGCCCGCAAAATTCCGCCAGAACTGGTTTCGGCATGACGCCAGCCGAATCACTGCCCGCTCAACGTCTGCCAAGCCATGCAGGAACGCTGAACCTGCCGCCAATCAACCAACTACTCCACCATCCACTTGCGAAGACACCCGCGTTATTCGCGACTTACATGAGCTACACAAATTTGGTCCTTGAACGCGGTAGGTCCATGGACTATTCCAGTCTCGTATCGCAGGCACTCCGGCTGCTCGCAAACAGACATGCTTCAACACCCATTCGCTACCAGCATAGAGATGTTTTTATTTTCGACCGATGCAACAGTCATTGAGACTGCAGCTTTCTCCAGTTTCCTACCAATTCTGACGCGCTTGGTATGACCAACCTTACTCTCCGGCGAGAGTGCGGAGAATTCCCAATCCCCTCACTCACCTGTACGCACCTCAGAGCATATCGAATATGACAAGTAAAGGGTATCATGAGTCGGAACACGTCCCTTCTCTCACCTCTCATCCTGAGATCGGGCTGTATCTCATCCCTCGGGACGCTACTTAAGTTCTCTCAACTCAAGCCTTCTTCTTCTTCTTCTCCTCTACAATCATCTCTCATCGACCACACTTTCTCTTGAATCATTGATATACACCCAATACTCTTTCGGCTCGATCGGGCAAGTTCTCCCTGATCCAAATCGTGCAATAGCCTCCAAGATACGATGGCACCTCGAGCATTGACAAGACCGCCTGGTCGTAGCCAGACACCTTCCCAGAAACGGGACCTTACCGCCATGCACAATGCGACTATTGACGAAGAACTTGCCAACGATCGTTGGTATGCCTTGAAGCACGAGGAAGTTAAGGTCTTGGTCGAACAATTGTGCGACAAGCTCACGAGTGCGATGCAGAAGTATTCGTCCGTCGACCAACGCTTCCAGGATCTGATCGATGCAGCAAACATCGCAAGGAAACTACCTGACATCAGATATTACAGTGTGGCAGTACTTGGAGAGCAAGGTATTGGTAAGAGCTCTCTTATCAATGCATTATTCGAACGAGGCCTGCTGGATCGATCGGGTTCTTCGAAGGCATGCACTGCGTACGCAACGGTGCTTGAGTATAAGCTCGGCGCTCCCGACCACACTACTCTGAGCGATCTCCTAGTTGTGTTCTTCACCGAAAAGGAAATCAAGGACTCTATCAAAGAACAAATGGATCGCTGGGTCGAGGTCTATCCCGGCGTCGACAAGAATCGCCAAACTCTCCAAGGTGAAGACGAGAACGATCCTGACGACAACAATGCTACTCAGCCGCCAAGTAAAACGACTTCCAAGACCATGTCGCGTGCTATCACCACCGCTAAGGAATTTTTCGAGATCATCTTCAACGTACAGAAAGATAAGCAGGCGGGTGTCGAGCTTGAGAGGATGCTATATCATACGAACATCAAAGAGGGAAACTTCTTCAATGATTGTTGCAAACGTGCCAATGATCGATTCGCGCAACTTGCAACAGACATGAGTGAAATGGACCTTCACAACCGAACTGCACACTTCAAGAATATTCCCGACAACAGACTGGGCAGAAAAACAGCCAGAGTCAAGGAGTTGTGGCCATTTGTGAAGGTCGTAACCATTGCGACCGGCCACATACTTTTGCGGCATGGTTTACGCCTCTTCGATTTACCAGGTAAGCCACCGGTTCCTTATCATACGACGTTGAGCTAATGAAAACAGGCTATGGTGATACGAGTCAGCTGCGTGAAGGCGTGATCAACAATTTTCGCTGGAAGGCTGACTTCGAGATGGTGGTCGCGCCATGTTCTCGACTGCAGACTAGTGTCTTGCACGAAGAGTATATTGATCGATCGATCCATCTCAAAGGAGCGAACAAGACTATACTAGTAATGAACAAGGCCGATGTCAGTTGACGCCTTCTCTCTATCGGAATGCCCGACTGACATATCTTCTAGGAACTCATCAACGAAGACAACATGGGTACACAAATTCGACAGATCAACGAACAACCCTTCCCAGCTTTGAACGCACGCTTAGAGACCATTGATAAACTCTATGAAGAAGGGGATGCCGATGATGATGTGATCTCCGACATGCTAGATGAGTTACTGAGAGAGGCCACGATTGCTTACATAAAGTATGAGACAGCAAATGTGCAGAGACAGATGCAGCCCAAAAGAATCAAGGTCTTCTCAGTATCTGCACTGGCTCACACCTCATCAAGAAGCCGCATTCAGAGAGACACTCCGATTCTTGACGATACCACGGCTGGAATCTACGCGTTAAGGCACTTCCTGGCTAAATTGCCGGTAGCCACGAACTATGGAAATTTCTACGAACATGTCTACGCCACGCTACCTTCATTCCGAAGACAAGCTGAACGACCTTTGGAGAAGCACATAGAAGACAAAAGTTATGCTAAGATGCGACGCGACTTGAAGGCTCAGATCCAACCACTTCGATACAACTTGAAGAATCTCGTTGACAGTCCTCTGCAGTCTCTGGTAGGAAAGCCTTGGTCTCAAAACGAGGAACAGAGTATCATAAGTGGCATACAGCAGCTGGTGCAGAACTCGTGGGTTCATCCCTTGATCTACTACCCGGGCTTTGCGAAGATGCTCGCGGAGAACGGCAAACCAGTCTCCGGCAAATACAAGGGCTATAACATGAACTACGAGCTGCTTGGTACCATGAAAAGGTTTCTGGACAATTGGTATAACAACTTGGACGCCAGCACCGTGGAATTCGCTATGAGTTTGGATAGGGTGCTCCAAAAGCTGTTGCAGGACACTCGATCGGCCATCACACAGTCATCCGCGCATCCAGATCTGAAGCTAAGAGCTACTGAAGAGTTGGACCTTGTAATACGACGCATTCAGGCGGCCTATGACATGCTGCTCACTAGTCTTCGCGTCTCGCTTGGAGAAACTCATCTGCGATTCACCACGGAGATCGACATCTACTGTCCAATAGCAACTGCAATGAAGGCCTCCTACGACCGAGCCTCGGATCGGAACATGGTTGGCGCTGGCCCAGGAATCTACAACAGACAACGACAAGCACTCCAGAACTCGATCATCGGCAACCCAACCCATGGAAACTACGGCTATGGTCCTCCCGGTGAGGCGTTGCGTCCGCTTCTCCAGGAAATTGGGGACAAAATCCAGACTCAGCAGAGAGATGCGTGGAAGACCGATTGCGAGGCTTTCGTCACCAGCACTGTTGACTTTGTTGAGGGATTCTCAAACACTGCTGAACAGCTTCTCATGAACTCCGCATATGTGACTGAAGAGCACAAGCAAGCTCGTGGCGAGTTGAGAAAGCTGCTTAATGATTTCGATATCAGCCTTGAAGATGTTCAGAGTCGATTTGTCGGAGGAGAAGAGGAGCATACTGAGAAGAAGATCAAGCGGGAGGAGACGGAAGATGAGGCACCGGTCGCACCATCTACTCTCGATCCGCTGGTCCCTTCCGTACCGATCTCGCAGAATGAAGGTTGGACTCAATTCCGCGAGTGGTTTGGTGGCAGTCGCCCTGGACAGTGATAGTTAACTGCTTTCTGTCTTGACTTGCGGATTGCATCCGATGCGTCACATGGTTTCATTTTCTGCTTTCACCATTACTGATTCGATATTATTTTCTTTCCGCGTTCTCATGAATTGAAAAGTCTGCCAGCTGGACAAGCAACCATCTTTACGTCATCTTCATCCTTTGAAGCACAGCCGAATGCACTGGCGAGCATTTCACTTGTACGGGATAGACAGACAACATGGCTTTCGCGTATCTAGTTTTTTCAATTAATGCTCAATTGTATACCCTTGTAAAACATGACTCTGGACTCAAATGCGCCACAGTGGTACCAACTGCAAGGCGCATACGCGTCGCCGAAACATACGTGATACACAGACAGCGGGTTTCCGGTGCCAGGCGAGGCTGATTAGCGCATGTACCCGCTGTGAAAAACGTCATTCTGGGGTATCAAAGCCCGCAGATAAATTGACTGCCGTGCAGTGCTACATGTGACAAACATACATTGCGTGAACCCACGATGAGTAACTCGACTGCGCGGCTTATCGCAAAGTGAAAGGTGTCGAGATGATCTACGCTGGACCCTGGCCGTCTTAGCGTTGCCTCCGCGACAGCTCTCCGCAAGCATCCCCTCCCACATCAACCTACACCGGGAATCGGATTCCCCAATTGGCTCTATTCTTTCGTTTGTACAAACATATGCTGTACTTCATGTTCGCTTCATTATTACCCACCCGTTTGATATAATCGAGGTCGTCCTCGCCGCCGTACGCGCGTACACGTAGCCCTCGAGGCAGTTGCGCATCTATCCAGCAGTCGCCATGGTCGCCCCTCGGAAAGCCGCGCTCCTGGAGGAGAGCGCGGAAGTTGAAGTGCTCTTCGCCAATATGGAGAAGATGAAGAGCCTCACCAAGAAGATCCAAGGCTCCGTCAATAGGCTCGATGCGAGCGGAAAGGCAGTCCAGGAAGCAATCGGCCCAATCTACGGCAACACACAAAAGCTGCAGATAGCAAACAACAACGTCGACCGTATAATAGACGCAATCGACCGCCTCCGAGCCCCGCGCGAGGAAAGTGCAAAGGAAGAGAGGATCATCCGCGCTGGACCTGGACGAGGAGACCTGGACGGCTACATTGCTTCGCTCGACCGCACCAACATGAGTCTCGCAGACCTCAAGCGCACCAACCTCCGCTCCAACGAACAGGCCATCGCAGAGCTTAGCGGGCTCTTGAAGCTGGGCAACAAGCAATTGGAGGATGTGTTCCGTGGCATATTGCAGGATAGCGCGAGAGAAAAGGTCCAGGCATTGGAATATGTCGCGAAGCGTATGTCACTCATGTACTACGACTAGGGAGATACTGACACTGCATAGAAAACCCCTTCCCTCGCATGCCCCAAGATAAGCTCCAGAGCTTGCGCAGCATCAACTCGCACATTTCCAAGTCCTTCGCCCAGCTATCGCAGATCGACCTGTCGCAGACCCCCACACGAAGAATTTACGCAGACGTCCGGGGCGAATACCTAGAAAGTGCACTGAGGAGTCTCATGCAGGCGACCATCAGCACAGCCAGGAAGGTGCAGGCAGATGCGCTGTACAAGAAGGGTACTAATGGTATCGGTACATATGTTCAAGCAATAGAGGGTCTTTTCGTTGCGGAGTTCGACAACCTGAACTACGTCTTTGACAGAGAGGAATGGAGCGATGTCTACGAGTCAACGTGCCAGGTCCCGCTGCAGGACTTTAGCAAGACCCTGCGTGAGCTGAACGGGCATATTCAGAAGAACCTGCTGACGGACTGCTTTCTTGGATACGAGATTTGCGGGTTGGTCCGGACTCTGTCGATGCGGCTGCAGAAGCAGACTGGCGCCCTAAAAGATCAGATCTACGACAGTGTGAAGCCGGTTCGGGAGACGTCGAAAACGTCTCTGAGCAAGATGCTCGAAGACACACGGTCAAAAACACAAGGTCTCATTGCGCTTCCTATCGACGGCGGCCCGGTGGACATCACAACACAGACGATGCGACGCTTGCAAGAGATGACCAACTACCTCGAGCCTCTTGCATCGATATTGGCATCTTTGGGAGAGGGCGGGTGGAACTCAGGATCGGCCAACAATTCATCCACGACTTTGGATGTTGGCCCGGACGGCGTGAAGCTGTTCGGGTCATATGCGGCGGATACTGTCGACACACTTCTGCAGAACCTGATTGGCAAGGCAAAGACACTACTGAAAGGCAAGAACCTCCAAGGCGTCTTCATGGCAAACAACATTGCCATCATCACACGTATTATCCGCTCTTCAGAGCTCGCCCCGCTCATGGACAGCTACTCCAAGAAGCTGGCAGACTGGCGAAAGCAAGGCACGGCTATGTATCTTGAAGCGTGGCGTGAGCCGTCAGGGTACCTACTGGATGTGCAGTACACGAACCGTAGCAAGGAACGCCCAACGTCAGGCGGTGCAGATTCGGCAGCTATCGTAAAGTCTCTCAGCTCCAAGGACAAGGATGCAATCAAGGAGAAGTTCAAGAACTTCAACACAAGCTTCGACGATCTCGTCACACGACACAAGGCATACGCAATGGAGCCCGAAGTGCGGAACCAGCTTTCCAAGGAGGTACAGAACATCATCGAGCCCCTGTACAACCGGTTCTACGACCGCTACCGGGAGATCGACAAGGGGAAGGGCAAGTACGTCAAGTACGACAAGACCGAGTTGAACAGGGCATTGGCGAGCTTTGCATAGCGAGATGCTGCGGCGTTGGATTGGAGTTGTTTGCTTGGGACATGCGCAAAATACCCTTTGATTTGCATAGATAAGACGATGAACTGGATATGGGTATGCCGATGGTCGGGATGGACGCGATGTAATTGGATAGGTGTCGAGTCTCGCATCCCGCGTCCTGTGGTGCCACGCTGCTGCAGCGTGAGTGGCAGCCTCGGGGTGCGACAGCGGTGTCAGGGTTGAGGCAGATAGTCGTGAGGAAGCAACGACCGCTTAATGTCTAGTCAACGCGTTGCTCGTGCCTTCTAATTACCCACACGTGACGCTACCTCTTTGGGAAGCACGGTTCGCGACTGCCTCTTGCAGCAGTGCACAAGAGCACAAAATCTTCAACAACGTGAAAGGTGTCAACTGCATCCCTCCTACACTCTCCCTCACCCGCGCTGCTCCCACTCGTGTGTGTTATTTCCAACGGTATTCGACGCCGGCTTGCTGCTAGTGGTGACGCGGGGATTTTTGGTCTAGTGCCCATTGCTTCGGCGTTGCTCCAATCGCGCCCATCCCTGTGCGGACCCCTTTCCTCCACCCAGCGACGGACGGCACCACGACTTCCCTTTCCAACGTCGCAGCCTCCGGACAACCACGCCATTTTCCTTCGCAGCCATCTGCACCACCTTCAATTCATTGCTTTGAGTGCATCACTCACTCGAGAGCATAACTACCGCTGACTGGTACGCCGCCCTTCCCTCACGCCTGTCTCACTTTATTTCTCCCGATCTGGGCTTGGTCGCGTTGTTACATTTGTTTAGCAGCCACGCAGCCAGCACCAGCACGCATTGAGAACATCCGCTGACATCGCTTCCTCATCTGCAGAAGTCCCTCACTTGACGACCCATCGTCCGTTTCTACTACACTATTTACACCATGGGTAAGGAGCTCTCCCCGACCCCCGTCTCGCGACATCAACAACTACACCTCAGCTGCGGCATCATTGGCACCTCAGGCACACACGCGGTGGCCCTTGGACAACGCCAAGCAGGGTCAAACTTGTTTGGCATTGGTCGCTGCTGCCGCGCTCGACGGCCATCATTTCTCTCCCCTGGCCCCTGGCTAACAGTCAACTGTAGAATCCAACGGTGCTACTTCTCCCGCGCCGCCTACCCGTGCGTCTCCATCGCCCCCAGCGTCATCCAGCGGATACGGCATGGACCAAACGATGTCGATGTCTAACGGCTCCTCTCCAGCGGTGCACACCATCACGGCGAAGAACCCCAAGGCCGCAGCTGCCATGGCAAACGACATGAACATCGTGCGCAGGAAGCTCACAGGCTACGTTGGTTTTGCGAACCTGCCCAACCAGTGGCACCGCAAGAGTGTGCGCAAGGGATTCAACTTCAACGTCATGGTTGTCGGTATGTATACCCCCGCCCCAGAATTGTCTATCCGAGCTAACGTGTCGTTTCAGGCGAGTCTGGACTCGGAAAGTCGACCCTTGTAAACACGCTCTTCAACACTTCGCTGTACCCGCCCAAGGAGCGCAAGCCCCCCAGTCTCGACATCTCCAAGACCGTATCGATCCAGTCGATTAGCGCCGATATCGAGGAGAACGGTGTCCGCCTGAGGTTAACAGTAGTCGACACACCTGGCTTTGGCGACTTCATCAACAACGATGAGTCCTGGGACCCCATTGTCAAGAACATTGAGCAGCGCTTCGACGCCTACTTGGATGCTGAGAACAAGGTCAACCGCATGAACATTGTCGACAACCGCATCCACGCCGTTGTCTACTTTATCCAGCCCACTGGCCACTCCCTGAAGCCCATCGACATTGAGGTGATGAAGAAGCTCCACACCAAGGTCAACCTGATTCCCGTCATTGCCAAGGCCGACACCGTTACTGACGATGAAATTGATAACTACAAGAAGAGGGTACGTCGCTCTATCTACACGTTTGGACACTGCTAACGACTACAGATTCTTGCAGATATCGCCTACCACAAGATCCAGATCTTCGAGGGCCCACGGTATGAGCTTGACGACGAGGAGACCATTGCGGAGAACCAGGAGATCATGGCCAAGGTTCCCTTCGCCGTTGTCGGTTCCAACACCGAGGTCACGACTGTTGACGGCCGCAAGGTCCGCGGGCGTGCGCTGCCCTGGGGTGTCGTCGAGGTCGACAACGAGGAGCACTGCGACTTTGTCAAGCTGCGCCAGATGCTCATCCGCACCCACATGGAGGAGCTCAAGGAGAACACTAACAACGCTCTGTATGAGAACTACCGCTCCGAGAAG